TGAAATAAATATATACTACCAGAAAGACTGAACTCATGAGATGGCTTTACATAGCATGGTATCAACAATGATGACTAAGCAAAAAGATGCATGGATTTTTCAAAATCAGGAATGCCATGTTCAGGAAAAGCATATGTAGGCAATATTTCCATTCACTAACGGTTCGTGGAAAGAAGGAGTGTTTTCCGAGTTCGCTTTAGCATAGGTATTAAGTATGGTGAAACATCAATGCTAACTTCGTGCCCGGAAAAAGAAACGTGACTGATCCCTTTGGGTAGGAATATTTATAGCTGGTGGCAAGGTTGCAAGCGTTGTACCCCAAAAAGCTCAGGTCACTTCATTTACAAGCTCCTAACCTCAAAATTGAAAGCACATTTTTAAGTTCTTTTCAAGGGCAAACAAAGCTGCTCTTCATTTAGCGCATAAAATGAACGTGCGTAAAGTAGAAGAGAATACTTCATAAGTTTCTTTTAGCTCAAAAAAACAGTTATTTTGAACATATTTTACCAAATAAGGGAAGAAAAGTGTAGAAAATCAGCGGGCGATTTTCTAGAGCTTTTGTTGTCTACCAATGCTAACAAGCCACATCGGTGGACAAAATCGGATGCCATTAAGGGCCTGTGTTTGTAAACATTAAAATGATCTGCAACAAAAAAATACTACGTGCCTTCACGGAGGCTCTTGAGCATTTATTGCGCATTGTTTTGCCACTAAGAGAAAGAAATAAATGCTACAGCAGCAAATTGTATTGTGACGCGAAGAAAAGCGAGCCGCTAGAATTTTGGGGCGCGCAGCTAAAGCAGAAAGCGCACACGAAGGGAGCATGCGCAAGACGAGCGTGGGCTAACAACTGTCACAGCTCGACACCTAAAGCTATGGCGGCTACATTTCCGATGGAGGCGGAAATGTTGTAGGCCCATTAGCTTAAATTTGGGTGCAGGATAAAGTACCACAGGTGGTCGAAATTTCCGGAGTCCTCCACTACGGCGTCTCTCATAATCATATGGTGATTTTGGGCCGTTAAACTTCACATATCAATCAATCATCGACACCTAAAGCATTCTGCTCACACAGAGAGATAGCCGTACGAAACGAATGCACAAGTATACACAGGTTGAACGCAAACAACTGCAACATTTTTTACTTCATTGCGTGCGAACGGTGCGCTCCATCCATGAACGCAGCCGCGGCAGAGAGTAAAATGATGTTTGCCCGAATTACGAGATGAACGTGCGCGCGCGCGAGACCTCGCCCCGTGGAGACGTGTGCGCATTGTAACGCGAGGTGCGCTGCACTTCAAGGCCTACATATAGTGCGGCGTGTTCAACGCATCAGGTCATGCGCGCCGATGACGAATACGAAAGGTACGCGCAGCCAGCGACGGCGTCCGATTCGTCACTATAGAGCTTGGCGTGCTCACCCTGCCGAGGCGAGCATTTTTGGAGCGGCACATGCGCTCTGTGTTCATCGAACGTGTCCGCGGCCTTCGCACGTCCGCCTTCTTCTGTTGACGCTTACACAATTTGGTCGCTCTTTGCTCCTAAACCGATGCTTTTTTGGTTGATGCGCGTGCATTTTCTCCCTCTGTGCACTGTTTGACATCGCATTTCAAACCTGCTTTCTCACAAGCATTGCTTTAAACGCTCTGGGAGCCACAAAGTAGCTACCATGATCGCATTAGGCTCCACCACGGTGGTCTAGTGGCTAAGGTACTCGGCTGCTGACCCGCAGGTCGCGGGATCGAGTCCCGGCTGCGGCGGCTGCATTTCCGAAGGAGGCGGAAATGTTGTAGGCCCGTGTGCTCACATTTAGGTGCACGTTAAAGAACCCCAGGTGGTCGAAATTTCCGGAGCCCTCCACTACGGCGTCTCTCATAATCATATGGTGGTTTTGCGACGTTAAACACCACAAATCAATCAATCAGATCGCATTAGAAATGAAAGCGTATCTAGTTACGTATATACGAAAGCGCACTTCGAAGGCTTCCCAAGCATTCCTTTTTCTGTCCGTGTTGCAGCAGTCCACGCTGTTGTTGGTCTACACGCACATGTTGTTTATGATCCCTTCAAGTCGACACAAAATAATGTGGTCTTTGATCAATTTTGAGTGTAACACGGCCGCAGTGTTCCAAACGCACCCCACGAGCCGCAATTTAGCCGAATGCCGCTGCCGCGCGCATTACAGAGGGGTCTACTGCTAATGGGAACACCGGAGCGCGTGTCGTCTGCTCAGTGCCACCGCCAGCTGGCTGCGGCAACTACTTTCACGCAGGAGCTGTGAGTGTAGCCGGCGGCGCTCGTTTGTCGTCTGCTACAGTTGCGACAGCCCTTGAGCTCGTCGCGAAGTCAAGCATGACGCTTCAAAATTTGTCCACTGGCTGCATGGCGAGCTCAAAAGGGAAGGTATAGGAAAGTGGCAAAGAAATTAGTCTATCTAACATACTACATAACTGATATCCCTTTCAGTCACGGCACTCACATTTGTGGACACGTACTTTGAAGAAAGTCACATGCTGCTTGTTTTTTCACATCGCTTGAAACTCGGTGTGCACATTCCTGAAGGCTTAGGAGTGTACAACTAGCAATCATTTTGTTGTATTGGGCTCCGTATTGCCCCAAAAGATCTTTTTTGCTGAAGTCACTACAATGTTTGACAATCGTTCGACGTACCACGGTTCAGAACTAACGTGAAAAATATTTTTCCCTGCTCGAATCAAATGCAAAAAATAAACAAATGGTGCATGCATTTTGGGGTTACCAGGTAATTATTTTTATGCAATTTTTGAACCTGGCTGCTAGGAGAATAATTAGACATACATTGCATACTCATTACCTTCAATCAGTGAAACTCGCAAAAGAGAACAGATTCCTCAATTTTTTTCTTGGGAACGTAATAATGAGTGCCTTGGAATTACACCCCAATAATTTATTGTGCTTCTTACAATGGCATCAGTATGCGTGTTACAAGGGAATATTTTGGTGGTTAAAGAAGCATGGCTTGTTTACGGCCGCCTTTTTTCTAGCATAGCTTTATAAAGAATATTTTTTCTTGTGGAGCAAGGCCCCACTGCGGTGGTCTAGCGGCGAAGGTGCTCGGCTGCTGACCCGCAGGTCGCGGGATTGAAGCCCGGTGCGACGGCTGCATTTTAGTTAGAGTGCTAAAATGCTGTAGGCCCATGTTCTCAGATTCGGGTGCACGTTAAAGAACCCCAAGGGGTCGAAATTTTCGAAACCCTCCACTAAGGAGATATGGTGGTTTTCGGACGTTAAACCCCACATACCATCACGTATTCGGAGCGCGTATTTTATGTGCATTGATGCAGATTGAGTCTGGTGTGCGCAAATTGAACAAAGAATTTACAAGCACCTTTAACTGGCGTCAACAGAAGGCTTTTTCGAAGTGGTCAATTCATTATCTAATGAGAAGAAAAACGAAAGACGACAATCCGACTGATGGTCCACGGTATAGCAATCTGATTAGAGACCATTCCAGAGGATTTTATTCTGGCTCGAAGAAAAGTGACTATTCTAAGATTCCACGGCAGCGCTTCGCAATGAGCTGAAGCATAGCCGCAACTGTAGCAGACGACAAACGAGCACCACCCAATGCACTCACTGCTCCTGCGCGAAAATAGTTGCCGCTGCCTGCCGGCATTCGCGCCGAGCAGAAGACACGCGCTCCTGTGTTCCCTTTAACAGTGGACCCCTCTGTACAATGGGGTCTAACAACAGCACGTGGAGCGCATGAAAGAGGAACGTACTCTGTTTATGGGCCGTCGTCGCCAAGCACGCCAAACTCCTCTGGGCGCGCGGGCTGCGCCGTGACGCCAGACTATCAGGTTTGCACTTTACGCCGGCGTAGCGTATTCATGTCGGGCGTTTTCGCGCGTAACTGCTATGCCGTACTATATCTAGTTCTTCATAGTGTGACGAACGCACGCCCTTTGTGCCATCTCGCTACTGAACGAAAACGCGCTAAAATTGCGGAGCTATGATGACCAACAAATAGTATATGGTGTATATAAATAGCTTGCCGCTAGCAGTCTGGACAACGCATATCCATGACCTAGTAATAAGGGGCCGCGCGCTGCGAACGTACGATTGACGCCAAACGACGGAACTTCTTGTGGCGGCGCAGCTTATGGTTGTGGTTACCACTGCGCACAAACCTGCGCAGCTTCTATCTCGTCCCTGGTTAGCCCGACGTGACACGGCCAGTTGCTGCAACACGCTTCTGATAAGGGAGAGCACCACCGCAGTTTCATCGGAAGCTTACGTCACCGCTGCTGACTATAAAAGCCAAGCTGTTAAGCTTCGTTTCATTATTGCTACGTTACCTCTGACGAGTGTAGCGGCATTATGCTTGATCTGATCAATTTCCTGTAGACCGAATAAACAGTTATATTTTCATGTTGGGATCCGTCGTTCTGTCGACAAGGCATCCTACACTTTGTTGCAAAGGGCCCTGCAACACTTTCCCAGGTTGGAAACGCCACCATGCTGCACACGAATCTCAGTCAGCCTATGGCAGCGGCCTCTGTGTTTATGGCGCTGTCACTTGAGTTTATGGCATTAATCATACAGAGCCGACGAAATTTTTCTATCTGATTTTGAAATTAGTTGTAAACTGCAGACCGCATGCTGCGCTATAATATTCAGCTGGCATGTTCCCAGAAGCTATCACTACCAATCTGCAACGTTTTCTGATCATGCTGAAAACGTGTTGCAGGGACTCTCTAAAAGATACATCACTTGTTTTTCTGATATTCATTAGCGCAGGTCAGAAAGCTGTTGAGCGGTCAGTCAAGCAGTCATTATAATAAAAACAAAAGGCTAAATGTTCATGGCATATATCCTTACCGTGAAATGTTGCTAGAATTTAAGGCGCGTTAATGAAGTAACTTTTCATGTGCGCCACACGATAGAAACTAGCGTTCAATAGAAAGCGGCTAAGTGAGAACGTGAACAAAAAGTCCTGGGGAGCTGTATATGCATGCCTACCTTGAGGTTGACCAGTGGCAGGTCGGCGTCCTTAGCTCGCACAATACTGTCGAGATTCTGAACCCGAGAAGCCAGCAATGCGCGGAAGGTGCCACGCAGGTGTGCTTGGCGGGACTGGCGGTAGCACTCGTAGTCGGCGCCCCGCACCCCGTGTAGGTCTCCTGTCCATGGCTGGTTCAGCGCAGCCACGCGAAGCTGCGCCGGTGCAAAGTGAAAGCCGAAATGCTCTCCCAAGGAGCCGTGCCCTCTAGATACTTGTCAACATTACACACAAACTATTTGTCCCAGCTCACGTTAAAAACACGAATAAAGAACCAATATACTCCTGCATTATGCGGCTGCAAAACTTGTGCATCCTTTCGCCCCCTGTCCTCTTCTTCCACACACACGATCTTTTGTTTTATTGAAATAGAAAATAAACAAAGGACTTTTTGTCCCCATTTCTTGGCGATGGCTAGCCCTTTCCGCTTTCTTGTTACAAACAAATTATAGAGAAAAAACTAGATAGCATATACACATATACACAGTCCTACATAGGTGAAAGCAAAAGTTATCCTATGGGCAGAACAAGCACGTAGTCGCCACGTTCACTTTTAACTTTTGTCCGCTCAGTAGTGTTCACAAATCTTCGTTTCTTCGAAGAAGTGTTGCAGAACCTTCATTGCTTTTCTACACATGATCTTAAGCAGCACTTCGGGTAATTAACAAAAACCTATAAAATTTCACAAGCTTTATAGAAAAGCGTCGAAGAAAAGGTGTAGCGGAGATGCCCTACATAGGAAACCCAGTTGCCTTTTCCTGTTCCATTCGTACTTGATATAATGGTGGCTGCAAAAAGTTAACTATACCTGATGACCCTTAATAAAACAATGTCGGCCTTTTGATTTTTGACCCAGTAAAAAGCATTTTCCTAATTAAGGAATAACGGAGTTACAATAACTGGAATCTCCGCCTGAATTTATTTAGGCCATCAATAATATAGTTATAACAAAACTGATGAGAAACATAAAGAATGATTGTAGTTTCCGGTTGTGCTATCTCGAAATAAAATACCGTGTCAGTGCAGTGAACGTGTTCATGAAAAACACCTTAAGCGGGAAATCCAGGAAAACTTACTAGGAACAATGTATTTCACATAGAGACCGCAAGACCAACATTTCAAACGAATAAATATTACTACATAAATGGTCACTGAATTTGTCATCAATCGATTATTCTTTGTAAAAATTTTTTCTTCTTTGAGCGAAATATCTAAAATATTCGCAGGTGATTTACAAAAGACGGGAACACCGGTTATTGTTCATTTCTTTCAGTTCGCCTAATTATTTGGTAGGCAAAACAAACATGAAACAGTTTGATACATGGTGGTACTTCTTTTGTTGAATACCAACTGCAGCGACTATGTGCCATGTGTTACCCCACACATGCAACTTCTGTATGGTTGAAGGAAAGAAGGGTATATTTAGGGGCTCGTTTTTCGTTAGACACAATATTAACGTGAAGTTACAGTCAGTGACGCTAAGAAAGTATAGGGGATGTTTTTACATGTGACTGTTATCTATTTGTGAATAACGAAAAGTGGACAAAAAATAGCTTGCCGTTGGCAGCGACCGAACCTGCGAGCTTCCAATAACGCGCCCGATGTTCAACCAACTGTGCTACCATGGCTGCTATCCTCCCGTCCACTTTATGGGGTATGTATGTACATTTAAACACGGGGCCGTGAGTCAGCGCCTCCTGTTGCCATTGTGGAGAGTGTGGGGCACTCATTTTTTGTCTGTGGGCGTCACGTAGCACGTACTCTCATTACTAGCTGGAAGCTCACAAACAACAGCTAGCATACCGCCTGAAGGCATGAAGTCTGCCAAAACGAGACAAAAATGTGAATGAAGCAAGGAAAGGTAAACTTAGGGGATTGCTTTCTCTGTTAGATAAAATAATAATAAGAACTGACAGACAATTCTGTGACATTTGCAGATAATAAATGCTTCAAAAAGACACAGCAGAGTGAGAACAAAGCATTTCACATACACGTGAAAATTATCACAGTCTCATCTTACCTTTCTTTTAATCTGGTTCCCATTTGCAAATGTAAAAGAAGAGACAAGATATGAAAGACAAGACAGTAGATGACAGAGAGATTCTGAAGATATTAGAGCTTAATAAACATTCTGAGAAATATCTTTGCACCGCATGCAAATGTCGGGATAGCAAGAGCACAGAAATCCCTGGAGGAGTACAATTCAGGGCACTACCGATCTATCCAGCATTGTTTTTTTACTGAATCCGCTACGAGAAAGTGTCAGTGCTAGACCTCTGCTACTCCTTCAGTGAAGCTCTATTTGAGGTTGTGCTGAACTTCTGTTGTTGACATTGGGAAACTTCGAACACGCCAGTCCGGTATTGTCGAAATCGTATGTTCTACAGTTTCATAGTGGTGCGAATGATGACATTCTTGCTAAGCAGACATGACTTAACTGAGTGGCGAAGTAGTGAAAGAGTAGAGGACACACGTGATGTAAGACACAAGTTTCCTAAGGCTGACAAGTGTTAGCTTCAGCTTAGCATAATGACTGACCCGGCCAATAGAGCGAGTTAGTACGATAGCATATATTTTTGTTGTTGTTGAAGGCTCCGTGGGGAAAAAGCGCGCGTCTCATTCAGCTCCTTGTCCCTCGTCTGTGTCTGTGTGACGCAGAAACTTCAACCAAATATGTTAGCATGTAAAAGAAGCCACAAAGAAGCCCACACAGCTCCACAAGCAGTGCGGTCTTCGAGCAATATTAGTTGTGCTGTCTCCATAAATTTACATTCGCCTGCGAACCGTTGCATAAATAAGGGCGTGTGAATACTCACTTTTAAAACCAAATCGAATACGAAAACTTTTCAAATTGAAAGGCAACAATTTGAGAACAACCTCCGCATTAATAGCATTTTATTAGCGACAAATATTCATACGATTTAACAAAGTACATTACAAATACTTTAACCAACAAAACTACGACAAATTTTTATATTGAGGCAAGGTCATGTGCATCATGCGTAAAGTGAAGCGTGTGGAAAACGACAGGCGAAAGAAAAAAAAGTAAACAGTTCTAGCACTCAACCTCACGTGAATAGTTTATTAGAAATCAAAGAGTACAAATGCCTACAGTTATCAAAATTATTTATTTTTCTTTATTTACCATTTTAGAGAGCAAAGGGCATGAAAAAAAAAAGCTGAGCAGAGCTTGACTACGCTTTTCAACTTGTTATGGTTTAGTGTGACTCAGTTGCAGTGCACACATTTTGAGCAAAAAAAAAAAGAAAACCCCAAACTAAAATATTTCTCATATGCGCAAAAGCAAAATTTGCACTCAGATTACTTCATCAAAAGCATATTACCTATGAAATGGCACATATCAGCTTCAAAAGCAAAATGCTTGAAGCTCAGACCTAGAGACTACAACCAATATCATCACAATTTTGTGCTCGAACACTTCAAACAGAGGGCAAAGTAATTCCTAACAGTTGAGCACCGGAATTCATGTAAGAGTAATTTAGTCGTATTTTTTTCTAAAACTAAAAGGGTACACGAAAACGCACCATGTTGGCCAATAACGACATTGAAAAAAAAATAAAATAGAGAAATGAACTTTAAAACCTGCATTTCTTCTACAATGATGTTTAACAAGTTTCACATCAGTGACAAGGTCCTTCGGCATGTTCTGTAACTATAAATGCGCCAGTGACTACAGTGCTCCAAGAAGCACTTTGTCGCGATCTTTCGAACAAAACTGAAGCATCATAACAAAGCAATGTTGCACGAGCACCGTACAGGCAGCTACATATTTAGTGAATCAGATAAATTTGTTATACCATGCACACTAGCCGTAAACACAGGTTAGTATGATTGTTGAATATGAGATTTGCAAAAACAATTTTCACCAACCGAACACTTCCCCCACTTGTTAGTGGCATGCGTTTACAATAATTGCGTTTCTGTACCTAATTGCAGGTTCACATGTGATTATCGTTGTCGTATGACCACTTTTATTATAATTATGGTAGATTACCGGCATATTCGCTTCGTCGAGAGTGCAATATGAAAATAATGTGGTTCATCTTTCTGATATAGAAATCAGTTTGGCACATGACAATGAAACATGTAATTGAAAGAAGTATATAGCTGTATTTTTATTGCACATTGGCATAGTCACAATTATTGGCCAAGGCTGCAGCTATTAGGATTACCACTACAAAGAGGCTACAACTACAGAGCGAGCACTACAGCAACGGCGTCACCATTACGGCCAACCAAACAACGCCTCGATAAACGTCTCTGTTCTGACGGCCAACAGTGAGCTCATACGCAAGGTTGTTTGTCAGCGGGTCCACAGCTTCCTTGTGAATGCCCAAGAAGCTGAAATGGCTTCTGTTGCGGAAGTTGTGCGGCTGAAAATCACGCAAAAAGCTTCGTTGCTTCGTTCACTGACAGACCGACGATGTCGGCTATGCATCGGCTTTCCGTCATCCAACGCCAGTGCCGCGAAACGTGTTTGCACCAGCTCATACTTCCAAAGGGCGAGCGGTCCCAGCGTACATTCCGCCGCCGACACCGACGATTCAACCGTTTAACGCACACACAAAAACCGGAGCGTTCAACCCTCTGCGACACGCGGACTTTGGACACCTAGGATGGCAACCAGTCGACCATTCGTTACAGTTCACCGTTAACAAGCTGCACAATGTATGTTTTAGGGTTTAGTGGTTTCCCGCTACGCGCTGCGGAGGAAGAGGTCCTTAGTTAGACACCCAGCGGCGGAAGTACTCATTTTTTTATTCTGTTAATATTGCCACGTTCCCTTTCTCAAGATTTGTTATAACACTATTACACTACGCTCAGCGCGAACCGCACCTACGATGTCCGTGAAGCTTCAAGGCTTTAGTAGGTTGTTTTGTTAAGATTAGGCCCACTTCCGGAACGTCAGAAATTATTCGGGAACCCAGGTCACCGCTTGTCGGCCACAATGCAGTTCAGCCCGAAAAACACTTTTATCTTCGATCTGCAGTTGACTCCCTTCGGCCACGTCATGACTCTATGACAATATTTTGCAGCGTCATATATGTGCTAGAATCGCGCAAGCGGAGCCGTGATGGACCACGGCATAAAACACATTCGTGTTGAAATGATCTCAAGTTGTTGCAATGTTTTGTTTCTACGTGCGTTTTTCGTAAGTGCTCGCCTCGTGTATACACTGTTCGATTAAAATAGCGAATTGATTAAAATACTACTGTATTCATTATTTAAAATTGTCGAATATTCGCACAGACATGATATAAAAATTCGAGTGTTCCAGAAAATACACGCCGAATCTGCACTAGCAAACAGAATAAACTGGTCTTTATTATTGCGTTAACACAAGCTAGTTGGTTTATTGCTGATAAACTTTTTGAAACTGTGCAGAAGACGACGACAAAAGTAAGAAAACATTCAAAACATCACAAGTAACATTAACTCTAGTGGTGTTATGAACGTTTTACAGCGAAAGCTGTTATAAGATCAGCACACAGGTCACAAGCGGCGTTGTAGTTGTCCGCCGCTGGTGTCCGTAGCGATATCATGAGAAATAAGGAAAAAACTCGTTAACTAAAAATTAAGGGCACAATGGGACTTGAATCCGGGTCCGCTTTGTGCCAGCCCAGTTTTTATCACTGAGCCGCGCCGGCGCTTGCAACTCGCTTGAAAAGTGGCCTTAGGCAGGCTTGATGCCGTGAAAGTAGTCGTTCTAATATGAATATTAAAGTATTTTGTAACTTCAAAAGAACAACACGGCGTCACACAATGCGAATTGCGTAAAGAGTGGACCATCCTATGATTCAACCCGCTACGAAAGCTTGTTCTTGTTCACCTATGAACTGTCGCGCATACCTACTTCAGGCATGATTCTCCATCGTCGTCAGCCACTGCATGAAACTATTGCACAATATTTCTAGCAAGTGTGTAGCGGATATGATGCGTCCCTGAAGAATGATGAAGGATAGCATAGTGAATGCCAGCCTACTACACAAAAATATGATTATCTGTGGCGTATTTGCAACCCAGAAAGTTTGCTTGTAGCAGTTACTCAAAGAGTTTCAAGAAAGGCCTCTGAAAGGCCGCTCTTCTAGTTTTCGCTATGACTGTGCTGCGCCTTGCCGCATCTTTTCAGCCCTTGATGACTCCTTTCACCTTTTATGCTTTGATGACTCTGCTTTTTATTTATGCAACATTTGGAAACCAGTACTGAAAGTATGTATGAATAAATTATATTAGGAGGGCATGAAAATATTTTGTAAAGCCATGGCACATGTACTCTTCATAGAACACGTATTTATACATACTAAACTTTCTTTAGTAACATTAGTATTCTAATTTGAAACAGTAAAACTGCAACGGAAAATACTTTATGCAAACGGAAGGGGGTATAAACGCATGTGCTTATTCCGAAAATGAACGTGAGGAAATTATTTTGTATCGCCTCACCTTTGGTGCAGATCCGTCGAGTCGCAGACTATCTGGTGGCAACAGTGGCGATGCTGTTGACGTAGTCTGTGCAAAAGAAAAACATCGTAAAGCAGTTTTACGAGGGCAAGAATACGGCCTGGTTACTTGCTAATGATCCTAAAAATAGCACAAACCAAACTAAGGAGTACAAAGAGGCATACAGAGCTCATATATCACCTTGTGTGTGTTCGTTGCATGTTTGTTGTTTTTTACAATGACGGTAAAGCAGCTTCACTACATGAACAACTTATGTACTTTTCATCTTTCTTGCCCAACGGTAAGCATATTAAAACAAGACGAAAACGCTGTTGAAATTGTTGACGGCTATTCTCGCGGTCATATACAGCTAATGCACTATATATACAGACTCAGAAACACACGTGCAAATACAGCTTGTCCCAAATACCATGCAGCGCGATTTTAAGAAAGAGGAACAGCATTATGCAAAGCAAACTTTGTACTCTTGCGCAGCCAGTAGTAACTTTTTTATGACAAACATTTTATTAGTTACAAAACAATTTACCGTTTCAAAGTACTTACATAGTTCCCACTAAGTGATTGAGTCATATGTGGGCCTGTGGAAATTATATAGGTCTGTAATACTTTCAACGCCATACTAATCGTGAACTAATCTTTTCATACCAATGATGCAAACCGGCCTAATATGCCAAATAACACGTGACTCAACTCTCACCAGCTAAAGAAAGCAGTGCCCTAGAGCAAGTTTAGTGCAAGCAACCAGTTTGCCTCCCGTTCGTTATCAGAGACAGCATTCCGCGTTTTGGCAAACGTACTATTCGGGCGCCAACAACAAGTGTCACAAAACTACAGGAATCATTTACACGTGATTGAACACCACTATCATTAACCATATCTCACAGCCAGCTGTTCTCTCCAATGTAAGGTGATGCTAAAAAACGCAAGTGGCAAGTGTTTCCAACGCTTTATTAAGACGACACGGCGGTGGCACCTGCCTGTAGCTTTGCGTTCTACACATTATCCCCTCCAAGAGAGTCGTGCACGCCTTCCTTCGTTTTCGAAGATAACTGCCAGATAGTGCTTGTGTCTAACGAGCCTGGATTCGCTCGTTCACCTTCACTGCATGGATTGAGACACTCAGACGAAGCACCTCCAGAGTACAATTCACCATTTTCTCGCACAGAACATCAAATAAGCCTTTTGTTCACTCTCTGCAGACGCAAGATTATCGTCTTTGGACCACATTTGCAGTGAAACATTCAGAAACTGTGTCACTTTTTTATCCTTTTTTTCATTCCTACCGGCTTACTCAGAGTGACTCTTAGCAAGTGATGCTTCATAATGCGCGCAGGAGTCTCGTCACGTGTCACTTTTTATATATTGTGGACTTTTTTATCAACACAATGAAATGAGCGTACAATAGGTAGGTTATTTTAGAGTTATTCCTTTATAATTTTAGTATATTTGAAAAAAGTGCCCATATAGTCACGTGGCGCCCTCAATATACAGTGACACCAAATTAACGGAGAGCACCTGGTCCACTATGTTCCTGTATATAACCAGGAGCGGGCCGCAGCTGTTCTTGCAAGCTTATTTGTCACGACGCATGTACCACGACTTCTCCAGCCCCACCTTCATCTCTAGCCACCATCATCACATTGCTGAAGTCAAAAGTATGCCCTGTTTTAAAATGTTTCATATTCGAACGCGTGACATTGGTAGTTTAGCGACGTCGCTAAAGCTATTTCCAGTCAGAGTGTTTAAAATATGCCGACATCCTTTATGACGACTATCGTAGGGACTACATCACACTAGTTTTTTTTTGGTATTTTTCTGAGCTGTATGTAATATCTGTTAGGCTTTCACATCCGAAAACTAGGATAGGATTATAAGAGGCGATATAGTGGAGGGCACCGGAGCCTTCAACCACGTGCGTTCCCCACTAGAGGGGCCGCGTAACACTTTTCTAAGTAGCTTTCGAATGAACTCACTAATAATGCTGATTGCCCTACCACAATTTTCAAAGTCCCCCCAGTACGAGCGGAGTGATAGAGTAAAACAACTTTATTTGGTCCACAATAGGCAAGAGTTAACTCGGCGTCACCTGTTTCACGATACAGGTTTCTCGCAGTTGAAACCACATTCTCTCATCTCTCGCCCCAATGAAAAGGGAGGGATGGCATGGAAAATCGGAAATGCGTAACGCGCGTCTGCTGGCGTTGAGAGCTTTTTCTTATCCAACACACCGCTTCTTATTGCGATCGCATTCGCGCCCGCGGTCATGGACTTCCTCATCAGCCCCAGTAACGACCGAGTACGTCAGGCTCAAGTCAGCTTATGGGTAATAGTAGGCCCAGAACTTAGTACCAAAGCCTGTAGCGTCATTTGCCGAAAGTCTAGAAATAAAATTTTTGCTGAATTTTAGAATTTATATATTCCATATTTCAGGTCACGTGCTGTGCTAAATTTCGTACACATCTAGCCAAGAGCCTCTACTACTGATCGACAGAGTTTTCTGACTGTGCTCGAAAAACGCTGTACGACCCCTTTAACGTTTGCGCAAATCTCAGTATTGTTCTTCCAAATTGCGTGCTTAGGCAGGCTTGAATAACTAAGTTTTGTTGACAGTATAAAATTCAAATGAGTTCGAGGAGAAAAATAAAGATCTGTTTGCAAAAGGCCTCAGTGCATTGATTTCAAGTCCCTGCCCATCGACTATTAGTGATTTTTGGCTAACTACAGCAACAAGCAAGATTTAAAAAATCCTAGCATCTCCATAAAGAAAATCATGACGGGTGGGCGAAACCCCCTCTTTCACGCATGTTAAGGAGTAGCAATGAGTGTGTACACTATATAGAGTGTTCCATTGGTCATAACTGGTATGTTGTGTTTAGTTTTGCCTTTCGTTTCACATTCACTATTATTGCTAGGTGGTCTGTGAAATGTTGAGTCGTTACGTAACAAATGGGATTTAGCTTGAAGTTGGGAATGACAAAGTCAATGCTTCTTTTTTCTATTCTAGGTATTGAGGGAGGTAGTGACTTTGTTGTTTTTTTTTGTCCCTTAATGCATACAACTTAATTTTTGCCTATGCACAGTTCTGACTTCTCTGCTTCGAAGCTTTTCCCGTTTTCCCGTTCGTTAGGGCATGCTCGATTCTCTCCATGTTCAACCTTTTCATGTCAGCTACTTTACGCCAAATGATTAACTTCGAAAGCTCCGCCAACTTTATTTTGTGAGTTACACTTGGAACTTTTATGGTTTGACATAAGCCAAGGCCAATTCAAGGCTTTACCTTTCAATGGCCTCTGTATCTCGTCTTGCAACTTCTTCCGCATCATGCACAATGTCCCGTTGTGCACAAACTATGCAGTCCATTTCATTTTTAGTTTCGCCATTACAACTCCTTTATATCGACTGACGGTTAGCCCGTTTTCTCTATAAGGTATTTCAGATTCGTGAATTCGTGCGTTCTGCTAAATCTACTAGTAGCATACCTCTGGCTTTTCTAAAATTCACGTCGCATCCTCCTCCTGCATAGCCTCTAACCGGCTTCTTGCCTACCTTGGCGTTAAAGTCACCCATCAGCACGTATACTGTGTCTTTACTCATTCTTGATTCTCTCTCTTTGCAGAAGCGTTCCATCGAATGATTATCATGGCTAGATGTAAGTCATAGGCCCGTACCACCTTCATCTTGCACTTCCTATTAAACTTAATTTCGATACTTACCAACCTATTACTAATAGTACGGGATTTCTATTTGTTGCAAGCTATATTTTCTTGGAGAAGGACCCCACCATCGACCAGGTATCTTCCGTCAACTAAGCCACGATAGCATAGAATGTGTCCGCTTTTCAGCAGTGACCTGCATGTGACCTCCTAATTTCCCTGAGTATTTTTATATAGATCTGTACAGCCGCTGAGACAATCAAGATGATAATGTCAGAAGCAGTAGTAATCTATATGAATCTGACATCCGGCCAGTAAAGAAATCCCCAGAGGGAATCGAAAGAGGCAGTGTTACTGGCGGTGTCCGCCTCGGTGGAACAGTGGCTACGGTGTTCAGCTGCTAGCCGAAAGGTCACGGGTTCAATATCAGGCGTGGCGGTGGCATCTCAATAGAGGCGACACGGCTCGTGTACTGTGCGATGTCAGTGCATGTTAACGAGTACAAGGCAGTCAAAATTTCTGGAGTCCTTTACTACAGGATCTCCAATAAACATAGGGTGATTTTGGGACATGAAATCTAAAATATCACTTGCTATTATGAATGAATGAATGAATGAACGAATGAATAAATGAATGAATGAACGAATGAATGAATGAATGAATGAACTTTATTGCACTCCTATCTTATACAAAATAAGCACAAACTGTATGGTCTCATGGCTAAAGGCTAGTGCGGGTCCCACTGAAAGTATACATAACTTAAACTGTAATAGTTCAAATTAAAAATAAACAGAAGTAAACAATTCAAATTTGATATCATCATACAAGAAGTAATGTTTATCTGCTAATAACAGTAACTTGAATTCGATTGAACACAAAAAAAGGAAAAATACATAACTTGTAGTGAACACAAATATTTGGTGATTAGTGGCATACAGAACTAAAGAATTATACTTGTAGTTGCAAGTACCAATAGTAGTTCTCTTATATGGCCTAATATAGAGAACAAGGGTATTGAAAATATCTTTAAAAAACATCTTTGAAAGAAAACACTAAACACATGAAGGGCAATATATATACCTAATGAAAAATTACAACCTAAAGTATCAGTCAACTCAAGCAGAGAAAATTGCTTCAAAGTAGTAATTTTTCATAATCTAGAAAAGTTCTGGGTATTCTTTATATAACGTGGTATGAATTCGAAACTTTCACTCCGGCATATTGTAGTAGACGTTTGCTATAGGCGTTTTTTATGGGCGGTATATTGAAGTTGTTAAACGTTTGGTTCCTCGTAAGGCGCAGGGAAATACACAGTAGTGAAATTGGGAAAGGTTCATTGTTCCTAACGACACTGTTAATACATGTTGATTGATTGATATGTGGAGTTTAACGTCC